TCAATCACTGTGTAATATGCAGCTTCTAATGGAAAATTGCAATCTCAAAAAAAAAAAAAAAGAAAAAGAAAAGAAAAATCCCACAATTACAAAGATATGTTCTATTTAGGACCCTTGGGTAGGTCCCAGCCAGTTAATGGTACACTACAAGTCAATAGTCTGCCAAGGTAGACGATGCACCCCAACACATTGAAAAAACTGTTCAGGAACAGTTCTAGGCACACAAATCAACCACGACAATAACCAGGCCTCTACACTACTTAAAATGAGATCTGTTAAGATACTAAGATAAGTAACTGAATAAATAAAAAAAACCATGAAGGCCAGGTGTGGCCTGTTCTCTTACAATTCCAGGAATAGTTAAGCAGATAAAACATGTAGAATTGATTTCGAGTGTTGAACCTGCATTTCGTTTTTCACTGGAACTCTCAATATCAGGTCCAAAAAACTGTCAATACAAGGCAAGGAAGCCACCATTTACTGAAAAACCAAAATAAGCCTACCAGAGAGATAGCAAAAAGGTTAGGAGAGATCAAATCAACAATCTGCTACATTCTTAAAAAGAACCAATGCACTGGCCAGTTCTGCAAAACCAACAAATCCAAAAGACCATAAGATAACTCAAGTGGATGAGATAGCCAAATCAAGGACATGCTCAAGAGTCAAAGTCTACAATCAGGACAGTCTTCATGAATAGAAATACAGAAGGCTTACAACAAAGATGAAACCACTGGTTACACCCAAGAACATGAAGGCCAGATTAGACTTCACCAGGAAAACGTGTCCAAGAAAATTGTTGGACAACCAAGATTGGCTTGTACCAGAATGATTGGAAGAGAAAAGTACAGAGAGTGGAGTGTGGAGGCCTGGCAGTGGAGGTCAATAGTGTTTATTGCATATTAAAGAAAACAGTTGATTTCTGAAATGTACAGGGCTATCCTCTCTTCTCGGAATCAGTCAAATGCTGCAAAACTGATTGGAAAGTGCTTCACAGTACAAATGGATAATGATTCAAAGCATACTGCAAAAGCACTCGAAGAGTTTCTAAAGGCAAAGAAATGGGATCTTCTCCAAAGACCAAGTCACTCACCAGATCTCAACCCAAACATGCCAAACTAAACACAGAGAGACCCACCAACAGGCAGCAACTGAATGTGGCCACAGTAACGGCCTGGAAGAGTATTTCATGGGAAGAAACTAGATTTAGCTAGTTTGTCAATTATACTTGAGCATCTGAAAATGAGGCCGTGTGCATAAAAATGTTTAATTCCTACACAGTTCATGGAATATTTTTGTAAAACTCTATCAAGTCGAAAGATTGTATTTTAACCACATCTTAATTGCTGGGTTTCACCCCATGGGAAATTATTTGCTGCCAGGATCCCAGTATCAGGTACCACAGGACACACAAAGGTCTTGGTTGTACTTGAAGGTGTCTAAAGATGTCTAAACATCACTATTCACTGACAATTGAAGTTTCAGTGAAGTATCTCTATTTATACAGTTTTTAAGCCAAAAATACGCAGAGTTTTGTATTAACAGAGGAGAAAGTGTCAAATTTGTTTTTAAAAAAATCTTTTTGTAGTTTTTTTCTACACACCAGAGCCATCTTATTTAATGTACATGTGCTATATGTCTTTAAAGATGTTTGGAGATATAAAAAATAGAATTGGACAAATACTAAACCCGTACAGGATTAAGACATGCAAAATACAGTACAGTGCCATAAACCCATATAAAAGCAGTTCAACTTTAAACTACATTTTGAGAATCTGGAAAACATTACCTTTGTCCCCTCATGTTTAAGTAAGTGAAGTAGAAAATTGTAAAATGCTACACTTGAACACTGCAAACAGATATAGGGAACTTGGTAATTATCTGTAAAATTTCAGATCATACCAAAGGTTTCGTTAAAGCGGATGCTTCAAAAACAACCTTCAGATGATGTGCTTTTATCTTGTGCACAGCAGACATCACATGTCAGCACTTTAGGGCTTTGCAGTTTTCATTTTCATATCATTTTCATATCTTAATGAACTGTTTGTAACTAAGACTGGGAATACGTTTCTACTACCATTGAAACTGCAGCAAGATCATAGGTTGATTACTATCACACAATCAAAGATGGACCTTTCACACTTTTACCTTCACACTGGCAAACTGATTGAAAGATTTTTTTCAGAACAGACATTTTGTGCCACAGCAGGACAAGCATCCGTGGAATTAAAGACATCGTTAATTATCCATTTACAATACAGGTTCCTATAAGCTGTCCTAGTCAGCCAGCATGCACAATACCAGGATCATCTCTAAGTGCAATGCACGCATCATTAATATAACTGAAGTCTGTGCTTTTCCTGCAATTACAAGCCAAAATGTCTGCCGTGAAATACGGCTTTAGTTCAGTGCTTTGCTACAACTCCAGTAATGACAGTGATTGCATGGACGCATTGTTGAATTTAAGGATCAGCTTAGGTACGCAAGAGATGGGGAGGTTGCAAGGGTGATTTTTCTCCAAGTATACATTGGAGACGTTTAGCAGTTTGACAGCGCAGTAATGACCATAGAGGCTGGTCCGACACTTTAGCCTCTCCTTTACAAACCACACTTTCAGCAAAAAAAAAAAGAAAAAAAAGAAGAAACAAAACAAAATGAGACCAAATGTCATCACTCGAGGTGGAAAAGCTGATTGGATTTTGAAAACAAATACGCACCTGTGCTCAGAGCCACACTTACACAAACCCGTCAAATGCTTCAGCTGCTCTCAGAGAACCATTTTTCCCCCTCAAGTATAACAGCAAGGCCTTATCTTATCCACTTCAAGCAGTGATGCCTCTTGTGATGAATTTCTAATGTGCGAGAACTGGGAAAACTATTATCTGGACTTGGCAGTTTTCTTTGGCTGGCCAATCACCCACCCACCCCCACAGTTCCCGCTAGGAGCCCTCACTCTAGCTTTCTATCTCCATAAATTGTCCCCTCACCTCTGAATATTTCTTGAGATGAATGAAATAGAATTCATGTCATCAAAACACATGTATCTCCCCACTTGCAAAGAGAAGGGATAGTGGATTCTATGTGGCCCCAGTCTCTGAGTGCTCTTTATTACAATGCACCAGTTACTATTTTTTAAGGTCACACCTTCTGGCCAGATAATAAATTAGCATTGAGCTTTGAACATCATTTATGGTAATACACATTTGTAGAGATGCTATAAGTGATTGTGCTGTAGCATTTTAACATAAATGATTACAATCTTTGAATACAAAGTAATTACTATATATTACATAGCTAATTATTGTTGCTGGGTGGTGTGAACGCACAGCTAAATCAGACGTGTTAGCTCATGTGACACTGGGCAGTATATGCTGATATGCTGTTACTGAGCTGCTGGTGGTGCTAGTGGAGGTTGCCATCCATACTGAGCAGCCAAAAAAAAAAAAAAAAAAGCAGCCAGCTGGCCAGGGGCCATGAAATGCACAATTAGTCCTGGGTCAGTTGCATTAGGTTTTCTCAAAGGCAAAAAAGGCGATCAATGCGTGACTTTGTGCTTGGTATAAACTGAATATTTGGCATTTTTAACTGGTAATCTAAGAGGTTGTTGACTTCAGTGGATGAGAGGAGAGATAAATGTGAAACGAGCAGGTTTCACGGGAAGGAAATCTTTAGACGAGGGTCACTCGAGGGTCACACTAATCACTAGTGCGCCGTGAACTCTGACCCTTTCTTCCTTCCTTTCCTTTTAATACAGCCGAGCTTTAAACCTGTGCTTATTCCTTACAGAAAAAGTACCCCCGATAAAACAGTCACGTAAATGACTCCTGTGTTGTAAAGAGAGCACTTGATTCCCAGATTATAGAGGGTACCAGGCTACCCTCTAGCGGCACGGGGAAGCGATGAACCGTGTCACAAAATAAGTTGTCTGCCTCAGACGGATAAAGGGTAAACGGGATACCAAAACTGATGACAGCAAAAGTCCTTTGTGGCGTAAGACGACGCGGAGGAAACCGTGCGGGGAATTCCAGTGCGTTAACGGGAGATGTTTACTTTATATGCAAATCAGCTTCATCTACACCAGAGGTCTTATTTAAGGCCCGAGCTCGGCTTTTTTTTTTCTTCCTCCCCTGACTTTTCAAGAAAGAAAGCTTTGATGTTAGCAGGGAGGATCGATGCCAGGGAAAGAGAGCGAGCGAGAAAGAGGGAGAGAGAGGAGAGCGAGGGGGTGTAGGATGCAGAATGAGAATGTACTTCTGGGGGTGTGTGGGTGGGTGGTGGTGGTGAGGAGAGGGAGGAGGAGGGGGGTAGTCTGCCGTCATCATACATAGCGCCTCTGTTTTGAGCAAAGCCTTTATGAAACCAATATTTCTGCATGTCCATCTCTGTGGAAAGGAGAGAAAAAGCCACAAGTGACGTTTTCACATCCCAATCCGCTCCGCATAATCTGGACACAATAAAGTTTGTCAGGTCGCGTCGTTCTCAGAGGATGCGGGCTCAAAATGTAACTGGTTGACCTTACTGCGCCATTTACTTCTGTTTCATTTAGCACAATCTGTCAGAACAGTTGCTGTACATGACGACGGAAATCAAGCGGATGGGTGATGTGAGGTTCTCCGCAACATCCTTCTGTCATTTGGACGTGTAGGCCTGCGGTGCCGCTGCGGAGGAGCAACTTTATGGGGACACACTAGGGATGGGGGGAGAGACACATTCGACATTCATTGCCCAGGTCCAAGACCGAGCAGTTTATTGCTAAGCTGCAAGTGATTTGACTAATTGGGCACGTGAGGGAAAACAAGCGCATTTACCCTCCATTCAAGACCATTTATCAAATATGGCTTGGGGATCTTTGGGCATTAAGGAGACCAATAGAAGTGTAAAAAGTCTAAGAATTAAAAAAATATCAGCCAACAAGTCGGATCAATGCAAAGAAAGCAACATACAGGGAATGGGATCAATCAATGATTCCGAAACGCACGGCACAATCCGTACAATGTACTTACATAGAGGTGATGTTTTTGAATAACTCCGCTATGTCAACGCTGGTCCCATTGCTCCCAGTATCTTGCAGGGCGAGTAAAGGGAAAAACCTGCCGTTGTCGGACTTATTGCAAAAGATCTCTGTTTGAGAGCAGCTGCAGGTCGGCGGGCAGTCCAGCATGGAGCTCAGATAGTCCTGGAAAATACTCATCAGAAACAAAACCCTCCACCAGCAAATCCGGATCGAATGAAACCATAGATCCATGTCTCCGGGCAAAGTGGGGAAATAGAAGAGGTCCCGATGTCCTCTGGGTTAGAACAGAACGACAAAAGAGAAGAGCAGGAGAGTGGGAGGAAGGAAGGAGGAGGATGGTTGGTGCGTCTATACAGAGGATGCTCTATGCGAGCGTTTCTGCCGTGGATGGATGCTGTAGTGTCCTTGCGCGTCAGAGATTGGGTGAAAAGGAGGAGGAGGGGAGGAAAGAAAGAAAAGACGCAACAAAAATAACGCAAATCAAAAACAACAAAGCGAAAAAATGTGAGCGTCCAGTCGTCTTGACAGCACACGATGCATGGTGTTCCCCTTAATGCCGTGCTTCTGATGTCGTCGTCGCCTCTCTCCAAGCAGGACCAGGACGACTGGCTAGAGAGCAGAGAGACACAAAATGAGAAGTTGGAGCATCAAGTCCCTCCTACCGGCTACAGTCATACTGACACCTGCAGAAACTGCATGCAATCAACAGTGATTACAACTGCACTATACAAGGATTGCAGGACTACAGAGCAACATGTAGCCTGATATAAGATTTAAAAAGTAAAAATGCAGGGGCGACAAGCTGATTCTATGTCCAAAAAATTGCAAGAGATTTTACTGGAGGATTGATAGATAAATTATTTATTGTTATTTTATGTAATCTTTTTTTATTCGTGAGATAAGATTAGACCCACTTGTTGGAAGAATTCCCAAAACATTTCCCCCAGGAAGCTACTGAGGATTACCTGTATAAGAACACCCAATGCACTTAAAATGGTCATTTTTGTCTGATATTTTTACATTAAAAATCTTCACATAGCTAGTTAGAAATGTTTTAAAATGCCATTTACACCTCCACCTGACTAAAAAATTCAGAACCTATGAATATGCAAGCATTCATCAGTCAAGCTGAACTCCTTCAGGCGTTAAAAGTTCACCAAAAGTCACATTTTAGGTGAACTTAGGAGAAACTTTCCACTTTCAGCCGGCGGATGTAAAAAGAGCATTTGAGTGTCAAACTCTGCAGTACATCATTCTGCACAGTGAAGCTCAAACATCCCAAACGAGTCACTGAGTGACTTTGAAGGATAATTTCAACATGGCTGTTTTCCATCCACGCGCCCACTATGGCTCTATAGATCATACTAGTGAGAGAAAGAAACTATAACTCAGACAAAACAGTATCAGCAGCTGGGCAAGTAGTGACAGCTCTCTGATTTTCCATTTTAAACATTTGCTTTTGTGTCTGACTAAAGGTAAACACAGAATGTAGTCTCCTGAAATATCCAGCTTGATAGCTTTTCCCAGTTGAAGATTCACAGAGCCACTAGAGCCACATTATTGGAAAATACTGCAGGTTGAAACAATTACCCCTTAAGTAAACAAATTGTATAAGAATAATTAAACAGAATCTCTACCTTGAGTATAATATTTGTGCTTTATTGCTAATTTAACTGTATATTTGAGCTTTACAGTTTGGAGTGATGCAGAATTTGACACTAGAAATCGGATTTCATTTTTAGCCCTGTACCTCTCACTTTCCCCCCTTTGTTTTCTCACTGAACTCCTTTTCTCCCTGTAAATTCAATGTCTGTCTTGTAGCCCCCCTCTGTGGGCTTTTCTTTTCTCTCTGTTTTTTGTCTCTCCTCTCAGCCGTCGTACTACTCCTGTCTGTGACCCGGAAATCAATCTCAGTTATGCCAGGTTGAAGGATTCTTATACTGCATCTGGAGGAGAGAGAAGCAAGGAGATAGGAAACATTCTGAAGGAGCTATACTCAAGGAGAGGTGTGAAACACTGTTGGAATATACAAACCATGGCAAGAGGAGAACTCTACCTAGATGTTCCTTTCTATGAACAAGTTTCAGTTTTTCAAGATGATCAGCTGCATGGCTGAAAAGGAACTTTCTGCCTTTCACTGTCCATGTGTATACCAATGTGATTTAAAAATACAGTATATGTATCTTATTACATTCTGTTATGATGTGAATTTAATTTAATAATATACCCAGCATGTTTTAGTGTAATGACTATTGTTTCCTTAATATGGCATCTAAAAAAAACAACAACAACAACAACAAAAAACCCCAAATACAGCAGGGATTGAGCTAACAAAACAACTGACAGATGATGCCATATTTTTTAAACATTACATCTCCAAAGATTGATTCTGTTCCTAAGCGAAAACCTGTAGTGATCCCATATGTGTCAGGAGTATCAGAACAGCTGAGACGCATTTTTTCTAAACACTGTGTCTCTGTGGCTTTTAAACCCCAAAACATGCTGCGCCAAAAATTTGTCCACCCCTAAGATCGGGTCCCCCAACACAAACAGACACTTAACACTGTAAAGTGCCAGGAGGATTGCCAGAATTTATACATCGGGGAAACCAAACAACCTCTGGCGAAGCGGATGGCACAACACAGAAGAGCTACCTCATCAGGCCAGGACTCTGCAGTCTATTTACACCTACAGGCCAGTGGACACTCTTTCAGTGATGAGGATGTGCACATCCTGGACAGGGAGGAACGCTGGTTTGAGTGCGGAGTCAAGGAGGTGATTTACGTGAAAAGGGAAAGACCATCTCTGAATCGAGGAGGGGGCCTAAGGGTACATCTGTCACCATCTTACAATGCTGTGATGGCTGCCATTCCCAAACTCTCTGTGAATGGTACTCATGGCCATTGATAAGTGGCCTTTGATTAGTGGTTGTTGATCAACGGTCATGAGAATTTGTATAATTATGATGAAGGAATTGACCTCCCAGCCCATTGTTCCTTCAGCAGTGCTATTTTCAGTCATTATGCAAATGTACTGTTTTTAAGATTGGGAAAAACCTGCAGTCAGCTGAGACTGAAGAAGTCACTCGGATGAGTGACGAAACGTTTCTCCCACTGAAAACGCTACATCCAGATGAACAGAATCAACCTTTGGAGATTTACTTACCTGGATGATTGAGCATGCATCAAAACATTCCCAATGATTTTCCTATTTGATTATAATATTTAATTTTAGTTTTGCTTCTCTGCAGCCTTTGGCACCAATGGTCATGACATTGTAACTGACAAATTATTTACATGTGTCACATCTCTGGCACTACTCTCACATGGGTTTCATCATATCTGACAGACAATTCTGAATTCATATTAATAGCTATGTCTAAATCTGCTCCTCCTTCCCTCGGGCTCCACCGAGGTTCAGTCCTTGGACCAAATGTAATCTAAGTAACAACTTCAGCCATAGCATAGCAATCCTATCATTACTATGCTGATGATACACAACTGTACATTTGTGTTAAGCCTAACCACATAAGCTAATTACATATGGTCAGGCACCTATATTATATATGTCAGGGCTGCTGAGACCTTATTCAAATGGTGAACCTCTCCAATCATCTTATCTGGATTTGAAATCCAGAGGCAACAGTGCTTTTAAGATTGTAGCTCTTTGGAACTTTGGAAGAGTCTCACTCAGCCTGTAAAGCTGGCAGAGTTAGTGCTTTGTTTCAAGTGGCTGTTGAAAACTAATCTTTACAGATTTCCTTTATTGTTAGCCTTTGTTTGTCTTTATTTCACATCAAATGCATGAACGTATGTATGTATGTATGTGCGTATTATTATTATTATTATTATAGATAAACTTACCACAGCACAGAAGCAAGAATATTACATTATACTCCTACCCTGAACTCCTTTTCCATCATGTCTCTCCCTCTTCCTCTTCTGCTGGTTTTAGAGGAAAAAGATATGAAGAGAAGAACTGAGGAAAGATATTAAGAATGTACAAACTGGGGAATTTAAAAAAAGTGTGTTTCTGCATGGAGGTGTGGCTTAGTCTCCTGCATTTCTTGCTTTGCTTCGATCAGCATACACACCTGTAGCCCATTAATCACCACCCCACAGAAGATCCCACATGGCTCTACAGTCATTCCCACCAGATTGTTCTGCCAACTACTGTAGGCTAAAAGAGATACTCAGCTCAGTGGGTGTGTATGTGCATCTAATTCTGATTTCTTGCTTTTAGGCTTTTTAATGACATCACCTGCCAGCCTAGCTCTGCATTCCCATTCCAGTTCCACTACTGTAACTTCCACCTGCCTACATGCTTTCACTCTGGTTTCACTCCATATTAGCCAAACCTCAGACATCAGTCCGTCGTCTTCCTGCTCCCTCAGCTCTAGCTTTGCCAAACATCTCATTCATGCTCCTTCTGTCTCCACTGACTCATCATACTACAACCCAGACATTGGAGCATTCATTATAAAAGCCTTCTTGGAAGTTTTTCCAGCTTGACTCGGTGTGTTTTGGCTTTTGGCTTGTGAAGCTTTAATTCAACATAACAATTTAGAAAAAAAGTTTCTCTATTATACAACCACCCATACCCGAATATGCAACTTACATATAGATAGTTTAAAAGTAGTTAACTTTTTTATCTGAAGAAGGAAGCAAAGAAGTCAAAGTGTAGAAGTATTATCTGCAATTTTTTATAGTATCAACTTAAATGAAAAGTTTTCCTCCTACATAAAATTTGCTGGAGGAATAATTACAAAATTAGAAATTTTGATGGATTAACATATGCAGCATCGTACCAAACATTGTGAGATTAAATGAAAATTATTTGAACATCTTTAAAAGACACATGACCTCTGAGGGTGTCCTGTGGCTTTAGGTTCCTTTGTTGGGCCTCAGTGGATCACACTTGCTTCAGGATATCTTAAGGATGTTCTGTCTTAAAAGTCTGGAAACTGGATCAAAACCTTAGGTTCTTTGTGATGTCCTTAGAGCAGGGATGTCAAGCTCGTTTTACATCATGGGCCACGTACACTACCTATGATCCTATGTGGGCCGAACCAGTGAAACTCCCCTTTCTGTCACAGAAAAGCGAAATTAAACTATACATTTAAGAAAAAACACATTTTAAAGGGTGCATCTCACCTTTTCTACGTGATAAAGAAATTCTGCTGTAGTATTAGTAGATGAAAGAAATCTTTCAGTGTGGCTCTTTTGCTTAAATTGTAAGAAGTAAAAATGTTTAAAATACAGAAATCTATAACTTAATTACTTTGGTGTAGTATGAGTCCAAAATATATGCCCTCCTTCCTATTTTCCAAAGCCATCCAATGAGCTGGATTGAAGTCTTTGCCAGGTAGATTCTAGTTCCCAGGCCTTATGTACCCCGGCCTTAGAGTGAGTCTTGAGCAATTTTTAGAGTGTGGTGGGGGTATTGTCCTGTAGGGGGAGACCACTGACACTGGGGAATGCCACTGGCTGTGGCAGTGGTACACGTCAATGGCATAAACATGAAAGACAGGAATCCTTAGCAGAACATAGCTTTGCAAATAGATGATCAATGTTATTCACTCTACCTGTCAGTGGTTTTATTGTGTGTAGTCAAGGATGATTGTTA